GTTGCTCAACTCCCCAGTATACCATGGGAATGTCAGGCTGCGTGAGTTTAAACGCAACTTGTTAGACCTGATAAGATACAAAGGGGAGTTATAATTGAAAAACTAACAAAACTCAGAGAGGATAAAACCTTGGTCCAGATGGTTGCATCTGCGTATATTAAAAGAATCGAGGGAAGAGATAGCAGAGCACTATTACACATATATAATAACTCATTAGAAAAGGGAGTAGCGCAGAGGACTGGAGAAGCTAATGTTATACCTATATTTAAAAACGAAGATAGAACAAGCCCAGGGAACTATAGACCTGTCATCTTTAAGATGACAGATCTATAGTTCCCTGGGCTTGTTGTAGGAACATAATGGAATGCTTACTGAATGAGGTAATAGAAAAACATCTGGAAATGAAATAAAGAATAGTCAGAAGGTATTTCAAACGGAATGTCATGCTTGACCACTTCATTGAATTCTTTGAAGGGATAACAGAAAGAGTATACAAGGGTAATGCTGTAGATGTATATATTTAGATTTCCAAAAGGCGTTCGATAAGGTATCACATAATTGGACTGATGAATAAGTTCAGAGCATGTGGAGTCAGTGGAAAAATAGCAGAAAGGATAGCAAGCTGGCTACAAAACAGAAAAGAGAGAGTAGGGATAAAGGGTAGCTATTCAGGGGTGGGCAGTGGTGTTCCACCAGGATCGGTATTGGGACCACTGTTGTTCACAATATACATTAATGATTTGGATTCGGGAATCAGCAGTACAATTTAAAAATTTGCGGACGACACTAAATTAGGGGGAGAAGTTAACACAGGAGGACTGCAACAAATTACAGCAAGACATTAATAAACTTGCTGAGTGGGCATTTAAATGGCAAATGCATTTCAATGTAGAAAAGTATGAGGTGGTACATTTTAGTAGAAGGAATAAGGAAGTTGCAAATCCTGGAAAATAAAAATCTAAATGAGGTAGAGGAGCAAAGGTACCTAGGGGTACACATATACAATTCACTAAAAGTAGCAACACAGGTTAATAAGGCCATAAAAAAGACAAACCAGGCATTGGGGTTCATTTCTAGAGGGATAGAAATGAAAGCAGGACAGTAATGGTAAACTGCTACAGAACCTTGGTTACACCACACTTAGAATACCGTGGCAGTTCTGGTCCCCACATTATAGAAGGGATGTAGAGGCACTGGAGAGGGTGCAAGGAGATTCACAAGGATGATCCCAGAACTCAGAGGTTATAACCATCAGGAAAGGCTGAATATGCTTGGACTCTTTTCTCTTGAAAAGAGGAGGGTAAGGGGTGACCTGATAGATATCTGTAAAGTGATAAAAGGTTTTGATAGGGTAGACATAGGGAAGATGTTTCCACTTGTGGGGAGACCAAACCCAGGGCCATCAATATAAAATAGTCACAATAGATGAAATAGAGAAGTCAGAAGAAATTTCTTCACACAGAGCAGTGGGAATGTGGAACATGCTACACAAGGAGTTGTTGAGGCAAATGGCATAGATGTATTTAAGGGAAAAATTAGATAGGTACATGAGGGAGAAAGGAATAGAAGGTCCTGCTTGAAAGTTTAGTTGAGGAAGGGCAGGAGGAGCCTCATGTGGAGCATAAAGACCGGCGTAGACCAGTTGGGCCGAATGGCCTGTTTCTGTGCTGTATATTCTAATGTATTCTAGTGTACTTCCCAGTAGAATCGATATTGATTCTATTGTATCTATGCGTATGTACAGTGGTGAGGGAATGTACCTCCAGTAAGAAAGTGACCATTAAAAATGAAAGAGGAGGAATAGTGGGTAATATGGTTTGCTAACCAGAGAAGTAATAACAATAGTAGTAGTTGGTCAGGGGAAACCCAGAAGTCAGGTTAGGCAGTACGAGTTAGGTAGTAGGCTAATAGCTGGTTGTGTCTGTTGAGTTTACTGGAGCCACTCTCTGTGACTTAGTGTCACCATTGTCGATTGAATATTGCTGTATATGACTGGTTGAGTCTGAGGGTTTACCGGATGCCAGTCCCTGTTTAGTGTTGGTAATACGAGTGTCAGTTGTCTCTGAGGGTATTTCTAGAGACTGATCTTTCTAGTATATGTCAAGGTGTAATCCCAGGTCTATTGTTTCGTCTGAAGTACAAATGTCCTGGATGTGAGGTAACCTTCTGCAATGAACGACAACAAGACCGAGGCTCTCCTGATTGGTGCCCATCAGTGCCTCCACACCTCAGGCACAGACAGTATCATTATCCATGGATGCACATTCCATCTCACTGAGTCAGTCCAGAACCGTGGGTCTTGTTTAATCCTCAACTGTCCTTCCTACCCCACATCCGACCCACTCTACCTTGCCCCACCTCCGTAATATCACCCGACTCCACCACTGTCTCACCCCTCAGGCTGCTGAAACCCTCATCCACGCATTCAACACATCGAGGCTAGACTACGCCAACTCCCTGCTTGTCAGTCTTACCAAATATTACCTCCACAAGCTGCAGATCATCCAGAACTCTGTAGCTTGTGTCCTCTCCTCACCCTCTACGACCTATGACCCCATCACCTCCACCCATACCCCAGAGGATAGAGTGCAAAATCTTCATCCTGTCCTTCAAGGCACTCCACGGACTTGCTCCTCCCTATCTCTGCAACCTGCTGACCCCTCACTGATGAAGACCCGGAAAAGAGCATCGTGGAGCAAGATTAGCTTCTCTCTTTATTTTGGTTGTGATGGCCCAGATCACTTCTTTGATTGAGCACGGAAGGAGCAATGAGACTTTGGACCTTTGAAGCTGTATCATCAACTCCTATCTGTATCAAAACACATTTTACTGCCTCCAATGCCATTCCACTGATCCTCACATCTGACTTGGACTTCGGAACCCAAATTCAAATTCGGAACCCAGTTCAAATTTGAAAAAGACTTTCCGATCTGATTTATACTAGAATTGTACCTTACTTCCGTGTTTCATTTTGATAGAAAAAACTGTGCTTCCTTGTCCTCCCTGCTTTCATTTAATATAAGCTGTTTAGAAGCCAAAATGCAAATAATTGTGCCTGCCTCACTACATTTATTGCATTTTGCCTTTTGATATTGTTTAAATTATTAAAACATTCCTTGCATTTAATATAGCAGCTTTCATATCATAAGAAGTTTCAAAGCACCTCACATAATTTTAGTGTAAAGTGATGACATTTTGTAGGCAAATATGGCAGTAAAGTTACACTCAGAAATGTAACTCATGAAGTGAGCAACTAATTTTATTTGGAGAATTGTCGTCCAAGACACTGGAAGAAACTATTTTCTTTTCAAATAGTATCATGGAATCTTTCACGTCCATCTGACCAGGCAGATGAGACTTTGGCTTATTGTCTCATCCGAAGGAGCATCTCCAAAGACATCCAAATATATCTCTCTGCCTCCACCCTTGATTCCAAGGCCACTCTGCTGTCCTAACAAAATGTCTGTCATCAAGTCTCATACTGCAGGTCACTGAAACCTTCAAATACGCATTCGTAATATCCAGGTTTGACTATGCAAACTCGATGATTCTCGGTCTCCCCAACTCCTCCCTCCATAGGCTGCAGATCATCTAGAAATCTGAAGCCCATGTCTTCTCCCAAACCAGGCTCTGTGACCCTATCACCCCCATCCTCGCCCAACTCCATTGGCTTCCCATCTCACAGAGAATACAGTTCAAGATCCTGGTCCTCACCTTCAGAGCTCTCCATGGCCTTGCTCATCCCTACCTCTAAGACCACCTAACCCCCTACCAACCAAAGTAAATCCAGTTTAAAAAACAAATACAAAATGCTAATATCTCGTTGCAAGCCAAATAAAGTAATTAAAGGCAATTTGCATGTGTCTTTGTCTGTGTGTGTGTGTGCCTGATACCTGGGATTAAAAAAGGCATTGTGGATTCCGTTTCATTTCGCTGTTACTACTACTATGAATAATTCTCAGATTTCATATAACGCCTTATCACGTCTTCGAGGTGTCTCAAACGCTTCACAGAATATACTGTAAAATGAATTGACTGTGTATTTTATGGGCGAAACGCAGCAATCAATCCCCAAATTATTATTGTTTTATTATTTTGGTGGGGGAGGGATTATTACCCCCAGAGAATCGATCCACCAATCGACTAACAACCATGTTCCTACTTACTGCTAGGTAAACAGAGGGGTATGAAGTAAGGAAACTTACCCAACATTTCGCCCTGCCTGGAATTGAACTAAGCTCTCTCGCTTGCGAGGCTAGTGCTCAAACCACTGAGCTACAGGACTCCACATCATTGGTTACTCAGTTGATGACTGTTCTGGTCTTTGCATGAATAAAATGCTTATGTAACAAATTTATTTAACCATTGGAACCAGACCCCTGGTATATTGGCTCTACACCCTGCTGAGCTGGTTATACATGAGATCATTTATCATGGGGGTGTTGATGGGTATTGTTAGGTTTCCTAGGAAATATTGTAACACTAGTTCCAATAATCCAACAAGCACCAACAAGCCAGTCTGGCTCATCAGCACGACCTGGGGGAATGGCAGACCAGTGTACAGCATTTCAGACCCAAGCTGGGGTCAGGGGGGGGAGAAGGGAGAGAAGAGGAAGAGGGGTGGCCGATGGCATGGTCGAAGAGTAGGATCTTGAGGCGGGACTTGAAGGAGGTTAAGGAGGGGACAAGGTGGAGTGATTGGTGGATAGAATTCCAGAGGTTGGGGGCAGAGTGGCTGAAGTCTCTCCCACCAATGGTGGGGCAGGTGGGTTGGGGGATGTGTAGGAGGCCGGAGCCGGTGAGCGGAGGGAGCGGGTGGGTTGGTAAGGGGTTAGGAGGTCGCAGAGGTAGGGTGGGGTGAGGCCATGGAGGGCTTTGTAGGTGAGAACCAGGAACTTGAACTGGATCCTCTGAAGGATAGGGAGTCAATGGAGTTGGGCGAGAGTGGGGGAGATGGGGTAAACAATCAATAACACTAAGAAGCAAATAATATCAATGCTAAGCAATCAATATTTCAAGGGACAAATGTAGGAAGTAAATAGCCATAAAAGTATATTTTGTATATATATATAAAGTATAAGTTTCTATGTCAATGGATCATAAAAGCATAGCTATCGTCACAAAGATGTAACTTTTGCTGAAGCAACCTTCGTTATTGAAACAGACGAAAACAGAGAAACTAATTGTGTAAGTAATGTTTCTACATTGAGATTGTATTTCGGTTTTCTTTCCCCTTTGCCACACCTACCTTATCTGCTGCTGTAGCTTTTCCCCTTTGCCACACCTACCTTATCTGCTGCTGTAGATTTTCCTGTAACTGCTGGAAACAGTCCACCTTGAAGCAGAACACATGACAAAAAATCAACTTGGTTTTTGCATTTCAATGTAGTTCACTGAATGCATTTTCTCCTCTGTGGTTCTGTGCTCCAGCTTATCATCTGTCACTGAATTGTCCAGATGCTCTCCCACTGAAACCTGCTCCACTTGCCCTACTTCATTCCCCAAAACTAGATCTAGCACTGCTTCCTTCCTTGTTGGGCTGGAAACGTACTGATCAAGAAAGTTATCCTGTATGCGTTTTAGGAATATTTCCCCTGCTTGCCCTTTGCGCTGTTGCTTTGCCAGTTTATGTTGGGAAAATTGAAGTCCCCCATTATCACGACCCTATTGGCCTTGCATTTGTCTGAGATCTGCTTGCAGATCTGCTCATTTATTTCCTTCCCACTATTTGGTGGTCTATAGTATACCCCTACCAGTGTTACAGCTCCTTTTTTGTTCCTTAACTCTAACCAGATAGATTCCATTTGGGGGCCCTCCAGCACGTCAACCCTTTCCACGGTTATAACTGTATTCTTGATTAACATTGCCACAACCCCTCCTTCTTTTCCTTCCCTATCCCTCCTGAATACATTATAGCCAGGAATATCCAACTCCCATTCCTGTCCTTGCTTGAGCCAAATCTCTGTTACTGCTACTACATCATATCGCCGTACGACCACTTGAGCTTGCAGCTCACCAATCTTGTTTGCTAAACTCCGTGCATTTAGGCACATGCACTCCAAGACCAACTTGACCTGTTCTGCACTTCCCCCGCTTTTTTTCCTCCATTTTCTAGCTCTCCGTTTTTTGCATTCCCTTCCCCCCTCAAAACTAGTTTAAACCTTCCCCAACAGCATTAGATAGCCTGTCTGCAAGCACATTCGCCCCAGCCCTGTTTAGGCCAAGCATTCACATGCTTGATCCTGCCACTCTGGTACTTATTTGCCCGAGGCACAGGGAGTAATCCAGAGATCACCACCTTAGATGTTCGATTCTTTAGTATGTATTCCCCAGCTTTTGATACTGACCCTGTAGAGTCTCAGCACTTTTTTTACCAATATCATGGATCCCCACCTGGACTACCACTTCTGGATGTTCGCCTTCCCCCTGAAGAATTTTATCCACCCTTTCTGCGATGAATAAAGATGTAAGGGCAACTTGAGACTCAGGAAAGAGGCGTTCACTAAATACATAAACAACAAAGGAGAGCATGACAAAAAAAATTACAAAGAGGTCAGGAAAATAGTCAAAAAACAATTAGGAAGGCAAAGAGGAATTATGAAGTTAAATTATCAAGGAATATAAAAAGAAATAGTAAAATATTCTACACCTATACATAACAAAAGAAAAATCAAAATCGGAATAGGGCCACTAAGGGATGGACCAGATAAGCTCACAGGCCGCCACAGTGAAATGGCAGAAATATTAAATAATTACTTTGTCTCAGTATTCCCCAGGGAGACGGATCAGGTGGACTTGACAGTAGAAGAGATCGAAAATAATATAAATACATTTATAATAATAATAATAATAATAATAATCCTTGCATTTGATATAGCGCTTTTCACGTCGGGAGGACGTCCCAAAGCGCTTCACAGAACACACTGTAAAGTGAATTGACTGTATATTTGTGGGCGAACGCGGCAGCCAATTGCGCACAACAATGTCCCACAAACAGTCGTAGATTGAAAATGACCAATTTATTATTGTTTTTGGTTTTGGAGGGATTATTATTAGGCTCTGTGTGGAGTAAGGAAACTTGCCCAAGGTTTCGCCCTCTGCCTGGAATTGAACTCAGGTCTCTCGCTTGCAAAGCGAGTGCTCTAACCACTGAGCTACAGGACTCCACTTTTTTATTTGGGGATTGTTGGCCAGGGAATTTTTACCCCTTCTGCTACCTCTTTGCCCGTCTTCAGATAGCACCTGAAGGCTCCATTTAAGATACAAAGGGGAGATATAATTGAAAAACTAACAAAACTCAGAGAGGATAAAAGCCTTGGTCCAGATGGTTGCATCTGCGTATATTAAAAGAATCGAGGGAAGAGATAGCAGAAGCACTATTACACATATATAATAACTCATTAGAAAAGGGAGTAGCGGCAGAGGACTGGAGAATAGCTAATGTTATACCTATATTTAAAAACGAAGATAGAACAAGCCCAGGGAACTATAGACCTGTCATCTTTAAGATGACAGATCTATAGTTCCCTGGGCTTGTTGTAGGAAACATAATGGAATGCTTACTGAATGAGGTAATAGAAAAACATCTGGAAATGAAATAAAGAATAGTCAGAAGGTATTTCAAAACGGAATGTCATGCTTGACCAACTTCATTGAATTCTTTGAAGGGATAACAGAAAGAGTATACAAGGGTAATGCTGTAGATGTAATATATTTAGATTTCCAAAAGGCGTTCGATAAGGTATCACATAATAGACTAATGAATAAGTTCAGAGCATGTGGAGTCAGTGGAAAAATAGCAGAAAGGATAGCAAGCTGGCTACAAAACAGAAAAGAGAGAGTAGGGATAAAGGGTAGCTATTCAGGGGTGGGCAGTGGTGTTCCACCAGGATCGGTATTGGGACCACTGTTGTTCACAATATACATTAATGATTTGGATTCGGGAATCAGCAGTACAATTTAAAAATTTGCGGACGACACTAAATTAGGGGGAGAAGTTAACACAGGAGGACTGCAACAAATTACAGCAAGACATTAATAAACTTGCTGAGTGGGCATTTAAATGGCAAATGGCAACAAGCACCAACAAGCCAGTCTGGCTCATCAGCACGACCTGGGGGAATGGCAGACCAGTGTACAGCATTTCAGACCCAAGCTGGGGTCAGGGGGGGAGAAGGGAGAGAAGAGGAAGAGGGGTGGCTGATGGCATGGTCGAAGAGTAGGATCTTGAGGCGGGACTTGAAGGAGGCTAAGGAGGGGACAAGGTGGAGTGATTGGTGGATAGAATTCCAGAGGTTGGGGGCAGAGTGGCTGAAGTCTCTCCCACCAATGGTGGGGCAGGTGGGTTGGGGGATGTGTAGGAGGCCGGAGCCGGCTGAGCGGAGGGAGCGGGTGGGTTGGTAGGAGGTTAGGAGGTCGCAGAGGTAGGGTGGGGCGAGACCATGGAGGGCTTTGTAGGTGAGAACCAGGAACTTGAACTGGATCCTCTGAAGGATAGGGAGTCAATGGAGTTGGGCGAGAGTGGGGGAGATGGGGTAAACAATCAATAACACTAAGAAGCAAATAATATCAATGCTAAGCAATCAATATTTCAAGGGACAAATGTAGGAAGTAAATAGCCATAAAAGTATATTTTGTATATATATAAAGTATAAGTTTCTATGTCAATGGATCATAAAAGCATAGCTATCGTCACAAAGATGTAACTTTTGCTGAAGCAACCTTCGTTATTGAAACAGACGAAAACAGAGAAACTAATTGTGTAAGTAATGTTTCTACATTGAGATTGTATTTCGGTTTTCTTTCCCCTTTGCCACACCTACCTTATCTGCTGCTGTAGCTTTTCCCCTTTGCCACACCTACCTTATCTGCTGCTGTAGATTTTCCTGTAACTGCTGGAAACAGTCCACCTTGAAGCAGAACACATGACAAAAAATCAACTTGGTTTTTGCATTTCAATGTAGTTCACTGAATGCATTTTCTCCTCTGTGGTTCTGTGCTCCAGCTTATCATCTGTCACTGAATTGACACCAGATATCACAGCAGTTTCAGAAATTCTATTCCTGGAACAAAACCATTTGATACAATGAAACTTGAACCAAAATCAAGGTTTAATTATTTCTTGAGCAGGGCTCCATTATCATGATTCTCTCTTCTCCACTGTCCCTATGCGCTGGGCAGACCCCTTATGTCACAGTGACCAGAAGTATATGATGCAATCTAGGTGAGGCCTGACCAGAATAACAAACCACCAGAGTATGAGGTCTTGGGATCAAAATTGATTTAGCAATACAGATCAATAATCTGTTTGCCCTGTTAAGTCACACTGTTTAACATACTCGGAAATGAGTCAACTAATAGCACTAATAGTACCCTGCATGAAGGCCGTTATATAAATGCAAGTTTTTGTTGCTGTTGTTGTAATACCGTTTGATCTCTTTCAGATTCTCTGCTCAGTCTGTCATCTCCCCTATAATCTCCATTAGCTGTGTTATTATACTATGGGGTAAAGTGTGCTGCATTTCACACCATATTCATTCTTTCTAATTAATACAAGGAACGGGTTAAGAAGCACCACAAACTTTACCTTTATATTGATATCACAGGTGAAGTTACTGATGGGGATAAGGTATCTTCTGAAATACAAATCACACTTTATAAAGAAATAATAATCCTTGAATTTCATATAGCGCATAATCATGTTGAAATGTTTCAAAGCGCTTCACAGGATTATACAGCTAAGTGCTAACTGTGTATTTATGAATCATATTTCTTGTTTCTCCAACACTCACTTATTTATACCCATAAAACAGATCAAATAGTCCACAATAGAGTTCAGCCAAACATAGAGTGTCGTACAACTAAACTGCACAACAGATTTAGATGAACTGTAACTCGCAAAAAAAATGACAATAGATATATTGTCAAACTCTAAAAGGAAGGCATCTGCCTATCTTGGAAAATATATTTTTTTGACTTGTTGCACATAAAATTCCTTGTCCTTGTAGATCTAAATCAATCCTGTAAGACAGGCTGCTCTGAAGCCACATTGTGAGTTACAGTAAGACACTGAAATAATTATCTGTAGTTGCAACACTGATACTAATTTTGTAACGAAGATTGATTAAAGCAGCATTGGTGTTTAAATACAGAGGTACATTGAGATCATGGAATTATAGAATCATAGAATTATACAGCACAGAAGGAAGCCATTCGGCCCATCGTGTCTGTGCCGGCTCTTTGAAAGAGCTACAAATCGATCCCACTCCCCCGCGCTCTCCTCATAGCCCTGCAAACTTGTCCTCCCCAAATAATTATCTACTTCGCTTTTAAAAGTTGTTATCAAATCGGCTTCCAAGCAGTGCATTCCAGTTCCAAACAACTCGGTGTGTGAAAAAAGTTCTCCTTTGCACCTTCTCTAATCCAATGCCTTGACATCCTTCCTAAAGTGTGGTGCCCAGAACTGAACACAGTAATCTAACTGAAGCCTAATCAGTGTTTTATAAAGGTTCATCATAACTTCCTGACTTTTGTATTCTATGCCCCTATTTATAAAGCCTAGAATCCCGTATGCTTTTTTAACAACTTGATCTACCTGTCCTGCCACTTCAAAGATTTACTTATATGAAACCCCAGGTCTCTCTATTCCTTCACCCCCTTTAAGATTATACCACATAGTTTATATTGCCTCTCCTCATTCTTCCTCCCAAAATGCATCACTTTGCATTTATCCATATTAAACTTCATCTGCCACATGTCTGCCCATTTTACCAGTCTGTCTATGTCCTCTTGTAGTCCTCACCTTTAAGGCCATCCATGGCCTTGCCCCCTCCTACCTCTCTGACCTGCTGACTCCCTACCAACCTGCCCGCTCCCTCCATTCATCAGGCTCTGGCCTGCTCCATGTCTCCCACCCAACCCGCCCTACCAACGGTGGCCAAGCTTTCAGCCTCTCTGCCCCACACTCGGAACTCCATCCCACAGTCCCTTGGCCTCGCTTCCTCCCTTGCCTCCTTCAAGGCCGGTCTCAAGACCCTTCTCTTCGACCGTGCCTTTGGTCTCCCTCCCACCTCTCTGCCTTCCCTCACCCCTACACCACCTCTCCCCCATGCTCGGGCCCCGACACCTGACTGTTCAGTGCTTTGGGATGTCCTCCCGACGTGAAAGGCGCTCTATAAATGTAGTTTTGTTGTTGCTACTATTACCTTCACTGTTTATTACTTTTCTTAGCTTAGTATCATCTGAAAACTTGAAGATTGTACTCCCTATACCCAGTCCAGGTCATTTATATAGATCACAAAGAGCAATGTCCCAATACCGATCCCTGGGGAACACCACCACACACTTCCCTCCAGTCAGAAAAACATGCGTTCTGCCCTGCCATATTCCCAGATATGTTTTAAATATTTTAAGTTAAATAGCATATATTTTATAATTATAAAAGTCCACCGAAGTCCAGCTCACCTAATTCCTTAACAGAATGCTCGGTCTGCTCCAACTCACATTGCTGGGCTCTGCTCAAGATTATCATAATACCACAATATACGGTTCGTCTGCCTCTGCAACATTCCATCACTGCTGCTCAATTCTAAGCCTCCTCCTCAACTTGAAAAAACTGAACTTATTTTGGAACAAGATTGCAGTGTTCAAAAAGCACAGATTTGTCTTCCTTGCAAGCTTTCCGTAACAGATTCATTGATGAATGCTGATTCAGCTTTGGTTAGCATGTCAAAATACAATGTAACAAAAATGCTATTGGAACAACTTCCTATGTTTTTCAATGCATGCACCAGAGTAGCATGTCATCTACAGATTCAGTACTGCACCTCCCAACCTGTCCGACCTGTTTACCAGCAACTCAACCACATCTGCCCTTGTGCGCTTCGTGCTGCCATTGGTGGCCACGCCTTCCGCCACTATGCCCCGAAACTCTGGAACTCTCTCCCTCAATCACTCCACCTTAATCCTCCTCTCCACTTTCAAATTCCACCTAAAGACCTTCCTTTTTGATTGTGCTTGCAGTCACCTCCCCCCTCCCTCTCCCTCTGACTCACTGTGAGACTCTGTGAAGCTCTCCGGGATGCTTCCCCACATGAAGGAGTCCTGTAGCTCAGTGGTTAGAGCACTTGCCTAAGCAAGAGAGAGCACCTCTCTGCCTTCCCTCACCCTTACACCACCCCTCCCCCATGCTCGGGCCCCGACAGCTGACTGTTCAGCACTTTGGGACGTCCTCCTGACGTGAAAGGCGCTCTATAAATGTAATTTTGTTGTTGTTGAAAACCTTCCTTTTCGACTGTGCTTACAGTTACCACCCTGCACCCACCCCCCGTGGCCACCCCCCCCCATCCACCCACCGCCCCCCCACCTCCAACTCGGAGTCAGGCTCCACCACTGTTAAGCACTCTGAGACACTACCCTCCGTGAAAGGCGCTTATATAGGTGCAAGTTGTTCTTGTTTAGGCTCTGGCACTTCTCTACCTCTCCGACCTGTTTATTCCTATCTTCCTGTCTCTATTTATATGAAAAATTAATTATCTACTACATAATAATGCCAGATGCTTCAGTGAATTTAAGACAATAATCTAATTGAGGGGTTCAGATGAGGAATGTAAATCACTCATCTGATGTCACCTGAACCCCTCGATTGGATTTCTCTTATAAGCCACAGAGGTTGGGGGCAGAATTGCTGAAGGCCACTCTGGTGGGCCGGGTGGGCTGGGGAACGTGGAGCAGGCCAGAGCCGGCTGAGCGGAGGGAACGGGCGGGTTGGTAGGGGGTTAGGAAGTCGCAGAGGTAGGGTGGGGCGAGGCCATGGAGGGCTTTATAGGTGAGAACCAGGATCTTGAACTGGGTCCTCTGAAGGATAGGGAGTCGGGCGAGAATGGGGAGATGGGATCACGGAGTTTGGTGCGGGAGAGGACACGGGCTGCAGAGTTCTGGATTATCTGCAGCCTGTGGAGGAAGGAGTTGGGAAGGCCGACAAGAAGGGTGTCAGGGCAGCAGTGATCCTGGAGTTGAGGGTGAAGACAGAAAGATAGCCTGCTCCATGTCTCACACCCGACCCGCCCTACCATCGGTGGCTGGGCTTTCAGCCTCTCTGCCCCCACACTCTGGAACTCCATCCCACGGTCTCTTCGCCTCGCTTCCTCCCTTGCCTCCTTCAACGCTGGTTTGAAGACCCTTCTCTTCTTCCGTGCCTTTGGTCTCCCTCCCACCTCTCTGCCTTCCCTCACCCTTACACCACCCCTCCCCCATGCTCGGGCCCCGACAGCTGACTGTTCAGCGCTTTGGGACGTCCTCCTGACGTGAAAGGCGCTCTATAAATGTAATTTTGTTGTTGTTGAAAACCTTCCTTTTCGACTGTGCTTACAGTTACCACCCTGCACCCACCCCCCGTGGCCACCCCCCCCATCCACCCACCGCCCCCCCCACCTCCAACTCGGAGTCAGGCTCCGCCACTGTTAAGCACTCTGAGACACTACCCTCCGTGAAAGGCGCTTATATAGGTGCAAGTTGTTCTTGTTTATGCTCTGGCACTTCTCTACCTCTCCGACCTGTTTATTCCTATCTTCCTGTCCCTATTTATATGAAAAATTAATTATCTACTACATAATAATGCCAGATGCTTCAGTGAATTTAAGACAATAATCCAATTGAGGGGTTCAGATGAGGAAGTAAATCACTCATCTGATGTCACCTGAACCCCTCGATTGGATTTCTCTTATAAGCCACAGAGATATATCCAGTGTCTCTTATTTATAATTCTCTACCTTCCATTTTATTTTTTTCTTATCCTTTCTTCTGGTAAAAACGGCTTTCACAGAGTAGGGACAAAATCACTGTTGAGTTATGTGATCTTTCACGTTTGTGACATATTTACAGTGTAGGTTGTGAAAATTCCTCCGGCCTGGTCTCCAATACCAATACCTGCTGCCTCCACTCCGTTGCCTCCAGCCCCCCATTTATCCCTCACCTCTCCGCTCCATAAGTGGCCATGCTTTCACCCACTATGCCCTGAAACTTTGGACAATCTTCCTCAATCGCTCCACCTTGCCCCTTCCTTCCCCATTTCAGATCTCGCCTGAAGACCTCCTCCTCAACCGTGCCTACAGTCACCATACCCTTTCCCCCCACCGGGTTTCAGGTTCCGCCACTGTTAAGTGCTCCAAGATACTACCTGGGTGAAAGGCACTATATAAATGATTCTAAGCGATTTCTGTAACCGAAAGGATGCAAAGCTGATCAATAGTACTATTCCCCATCACAATCTACTTTTGAAGAAAAATTTGATAGTTCAGCAGGATTTCCAACTCCAACTGCAGATTATATTCATTTGCAGGCAAGTTATATGAAATGTCTGTTTTTCAATAAGAACCACGTGTCCGCTTGGTTACCATTTGCGCCAAATTTAACAAGATTTAGAATAAATCAATTAATAATAATAATAATAATCGTTGCATTTGATATATCGCTTTTCACGTCGGGAGGACGTCCCAAAGCGCTTCACAGAACACACTGTAAAGTGAATTTACTGTATATTTGTGGGCGAACGCGGCAGCCAATTGCGCACAGCAATGTCCCACAAACAGTTGTAGATTGAAAATGACCAATTTATTATTGTTTTTGGTTTTGGAGGGATTATTATTAGGCATGTGGAGTAAGGAAACTTGCCCAAGGTTTCGCCCTGCCTGGAATTGAACTCAGGTCTCTCACTTGCAAAGCGAGTGCTCTAACCATTAAGCTACAGGACTCCACAATTCTAGAGTGTTAACCTCCAGCGGCAGAAATTACATGAACCGCAGACACAGTGGTTAAATATCCTTCTTCTATGCTGTACACATTCAAAATTCTGCAGTTGACTACTTAAATAATAATTGAACGAGCAAGGACATGACCAGTTCAACTCGTATCTTACGTACCTTTACTTTATGCTGGTAGCTACTGTCTTTCACTTCTATGCTGCTGAATTCACCATCAAATGTGGAGCAGGGGAGAAGAATGTTCCTGGATACCTTTCAAAACAGCATTGTGTTCTTAAGCGTAGTTCAAAGTCTACAACTTATGGGTGGAGCCTTGTCAGCTTCAGCCTCCAGCTTTGTCCCATGTAAAAAAAAATATTTTGAGCGCTGAAATTTACATGCCTTATCTTGAGCTACAGAAGTTTTGTATCTCGGTGATTAGAGCACTCGCCTCGCCGGTGGGAGCCCTGGGTTCGATTTGCTTTTCTGGGGGTAATAATTTCTTCAAAAAAAATAATAACATTGGTCACTTCAATCCACGATTGTTTGTGGAACGCTGCTGTTCACAATTGGCTGCCACGTTTCACCAACAAAATGTACAATTCACTTTACAGTATATTCTGTGAAGCACTCTGAGATAGATGTCTCAAAGACGTGATAAAGTGCTATGTCAAATACACAGAGTATTATTATTATCTTATATAAAATGTTATGATTGTGCAGCATTTGCCTGGGAATTGAACTCAGGCCCTTTCGCTTGCAAGGTGAGTGCTCTAACCAATACGCTACAGGACTCCGTGTATTCTGTGAAATTCTATGTAATTCTAGGGGTAATAACTCAACTGATTTAGCAATATAAAATCAGGACCTAAGAATCGTGTAGCTCAGTAGTTAGAGCACTCGCCTCGCAAACGAAAGACCTGGGTTTGATTCCCGCAGGGCAAAACCTTGAGCAAGTTTCCTTACTCCACACGCCTGATAATAATCCCTCAAGAAAAAAAAACAATAATAATTTGGTCACCCATGACTTTTTTTGGAACACTGCTTTGCGCAATTGACTGCCGTGTTTCACCCACAAATATACAGTCAATTCACTTTACAGTATATTCTGTGAAGCGCTTTGAGATGTCTAGAAGACGTGAAAAGCGCTATATTAACGCAAGGATTATTAGTATTATATAACTCAGAATCCTCTTTGCCTTGTTTATTTCTGACTGTGTTGACATGATGAGTCATTCATATGTGAGTCAAATATATTAAGACCTTGAAGCATAACTCCTCAAGTTCTATTATGTACTTGGAGTCCACTTGCCTCCTATTGCCTCGTGGAGTCCTGTAGCTCAGTGCAAGCGAGAGACCTGAGTTCAATTCTAGGCAGGGCGAAACCTTGGGCAAGTTTCCTTACTCCACACACCTAATAATAATCCCTCCAAAACAAAACAATAATAAATTGGTCATTTTCAATCTACAACTGTTTGTGGGACATTGCTGTGCTGCCGCGTTCGCCCACAAATATACAGTCAATTCACTTTACAGTGTGTTCTGTAAAGCGCTTTGGGACGTCCTCCCGACATGAAAAGCGCTATATCAAATGCAAGGATTATTATAGGATTATTATTTATATGCAATACCTTCAATATATCTGATTTGAACTTTATTTTTGAAATTTATTTATAAGCCAAGCTCTTTAATAAGATCTTGCAAACTGAATTACTTTACAATGGGTTTTTCAATCCAAGTGTTTCATGTATACCAGGGGGACTCAAAAGCAAAGATTCCACTTGTGTCAGACTGTGACAGTCACACTGATCTGTTACAGCTTAACTCTGATGAAGAAAGAAACAAGTTCTTAAATCTGTGTGTTTAAGAAACTTGGGGGTTATTGTTGAGAAAGGTCAATCCTGAGAATAATGTATTTTTGGATATATCGATGAATTAAACTGAATGTATACCTTCGTTGGGGGGGGGCAAGAAACCATTAGGAGATAGCACTTGCTTTGCAAGCAAGACACCTGGGTTCAATTCCAGGCAGGGCGAAACCTTGGGCAAGTTTCCTTACTCCACACACCTAATAATAATCCCTCCAAAACCCCAAACAATAATAAATTGGTCATTTTCAATCTATGACTGTTTGTGGGACATTGCTGTGCGCAATTGGCTGCCGCGTTCGCCCACAAATATACAGTCAATTCACTTTACAGTATATTCTGTGAAGCGCTTTGGGACGTCCTCCCGACGTGAAAAGCGCTATATCAAAATGCAAGGATTATTATTATTATTATTATTATTACTAGAAACTACTCATTTATGGATGTCAAGATTTTGGAGGGAAAGCGAGAAAATCCACGAACGTTCCATGAATGGTTAGCAGAATTATGTAGCCTAACCATTTGCCTATGGCAAGAACCATTTGTCAAGAACCACTTGCCTATAGAAAAGGGAGTGGATGGCACAAACAAAATAAAAATTACGGAAGGGGCGCTCATGGGGGTAATAGAGGTCTGTCAAGGACAGGAGGGCGCAGTCAAACATCTCAAAATAGCACAGGGAGAAATTATCAAACCGAAGGCAATCCGTGTTTTAAGTGTGGTCAGATTGGTCATTGGTCCCTGGAGTGCCCATCCATTAACCCGAGTAAGGATCAAGGTAATGAACAAGCAGAACAAGTGCTGCAACGCATGGCTAGTATGATGGATACCCGGCGGGTTACAGGGCCTGAACGGACAGGGTCACAAGTTAATGAAATCTCTGGTGTAAGGGAGGGACCCTCAGCCCAACCGATGGATAATTCCACTGACGAGGAACCTGGATATAACCTGTGACAGGCAGTGCAGGCCCCCACAGGGACCTCCTCACATCCATCTCTTTTAAATGAACCACCGACAACCGCCCATTCATTATCGTAAACGTTTCGGGGGGCGTTCCACAAATGTTGTTAATTGCCTCGGGAGCTAACCTAACCTTATTCCACACTCAATTTCCTCAGTCTTTTCCAGATGCTACGATGGTTCCAGGGTTTGATGGATCCAGACAAAGCAGGATGACATTGATTGACACCCATGTTCAGATAAATTCAATTCCTTTTGCCACGATCCAACCGGTGGCCCTCACTATGCCAGGGAGACACGTGATATTGGAGTCGGATGTATTAAAACATTATGGAACAGTGATTGATTATGCCAATGCTTGTCTGCGGGTTCCTACTAATCCACGCTCGGTTATTAAGACCAAACATCACATTATATCAGACTTTTTCGCAATTTACTATCAAAAAGGCAGAACCATATGCTCCACTAACACATATCGACCATGACATACAAACCCTCATCACTTGTTTTCAATCAGTAGTTGCAGTACACAAATACGATTGTGGTCAACTCACTAAGGTAGAAGAGATTAACAGTCCAATGCAGTCCCCACCTTCGACGACCCCTGTACAACTTACTTCCAGGAGCCGACGATGAGGTGCGCGAACTATGGCAGGAGAAACACACCAAGGCGGCCGCGGTCCTCAAGCGAACAGTTATGCATGCAACATGCCTTCTTTCTCCAAACACTGATGCTCCATTTCATCTTGAAGTGGCAGCCACCGACTTCAGCCTCATGGCAGTCCTCGCTTAAAAACATCAGGGCCGTATAGCTCCCATCACTTTTGCCTCCCGCATCTTGACCGGAGTTGAGCAGCAGTACGACCTGTGCGAGCGACACCTCCTAGCTACTTGCTGGCCGTCAAACATTTCACTTATAATACCGGCTTGCAAAAGATTATCCTCCGCTCCCCTCACACTCCGCTGAACCTACTAATGAAGCCAGATAGGGCGAAATATTGATATAACCCCGAAGAAGACCATATTCATCCCTCAGATGATGCAATATTCGGGACCAGAAGACACGTGCCCGTCCCGCTGCTCCAGTTCCCCAACCACCCAGTATCCAAAACCCCGATTGAACTCAAAGGGTCGAATCCTTGCCTAGAAATCAAAGTATACGTGGACAGCTCTTCATACTATGTGGCAGGAAACCCACACACTGGTTTCGCGGTGGTTTTCCCCAGATAAGACCCTCCGGTACACCTGCACCCCACACTCGGCTCAATATGCCGAACTTGCATCAGTGTTAACCGCCATTATTGCCACCTGCAACATCTGGTCAGATAGTGCGTACGTGGTAAACACGATCATGTTGCTCCCTCTTTACGCTTCTCAGAACATTTGCATGGCCAACGGTCGCCCACTAGCCCACCGAGCCCTGCTCACCAGCCTATGGGTGCATATGGGTGCATATGCAGCAATGAGTCACACCTCTACACATTGGAAAGATAAAGGCACACTCCAAGGCGGAGCCCCGTATGAAAGGCAGCAAAGCTGCGGACCAAGTGGCCAAAGAAGCAGCTGTTGACGGGGCAATTACCTTGCAATGCAAAGCCATAACCTCGCAATGCAAAGCCATAACTCCATGCACACCCCCGGATCTTGGAGCGTTACAAGCATTTTACCCGCCATACCACCTAGTGTCTCAATGGTACAAACAGGGCTGCCCCCTTCCTCAGCCCACTGAATGGGCCCATCGCACCTGACTTGTACAAAACCAACATGCAGGGTCACCCCTTCTCTTCAAGACCCATCCTTTAAAATCAGATGTCATGTGTGTGCCTCCTGATTTAGCGGAGGACCTTTTTCAGTTATTTCATTCCCATCCTACAGGTGGACACGCAGCAGTCAACACTACTATCAATAAAATTTTAACATCCGTATGGTGGCCTACAATTGGTCCAGGCATATTCTCGCGAGTTGCCTGCCGCTTGGTTTGCCTCCAACATAACCCAGGCCCGCCTGCTAACCATGTACTCCTACGGTCCACCCTCCCCCTATTGGGCCCTGGACCCACATCCAGATCGATTTTACCAGGCCCCTCACAAGCACACCAAGCAAATATAAATACGTACTGGTCATTATCGATAAATTCACCAAGTGGATGGAAGCTTTACCCGCTCGGTCAGCTATGACAATCACAGCTGCATGAATCCTACTGAGTGAGGTGATCTGCAGGTGGGGAGTACCAATCACTTTAGGTAGCGATCAGAGTCGTCATTTTACAGGCAAAGTTTTTCAGGGAATAACCCAATTAATGGGGATCAAACATCAGCTGCACATCCATCACCAATCATCACACATAGTAGAAATGGGGAAGAGGACACTCAAAACATTGCTCAAAAAAGTACTGTCCAGATCACCCCACTCAATGGGCGCAAATGTTACCAATGTGCTTGATGGCGATCAGATTGACTCTCCATTCCACA